AGCATAGCATAGCATAGAATAGAATAGAATAGAATAGAATAGAAAAACATAGCATAGCATAGCATAGCATAGCATAGCATAGCATAGCATAGAATTAGAATAGCATAGCATAGAATAGAATAGAATAGAATAGAATAGAATAGAATAGAATAGAATAGAATTCTTTATTGGCCAAGTGTGATTGGACACATAAGGAATTTGTCTTGGTGCAAATGCTCTCAGTGTACATAAAAAGAAAAGATACATTCGTTAAGAATCAAGAATCATCAGGTACAACACTTAAAGTCATAGGGTACAAATGATCAATCAAATCATACTAGGAAACAGTCAATATAAATCGTAAGGATACAAGCGACAAAGTTACAGTCATACAGTCACAAGTGGGAGGGGATGGGCGATAAAGGAGTGATGAGAAGATTAACGGTTATAGTAGTGCAGACTTTGTGAATAGTTGGACAGTGTTGAGGGAATTATTTGTTTAGCAGAGTGATGGTGTTTGGGAAAAAAATGTCCTTGTGTCTAGTTGTTCTGGTGTGCAGTGCCCTATAGTGTCGTCTTGAGGGAAGGAGTTGAAACAGTTTATGTCCGGGATGTGAAGGCTCTGTAGATATTTTCACAGCCCTCTTTTTAACTTGTGCAGTATACAAGTCCTAGTTGGAAGATAGGTTGGTTGCAGTTGTTTTTTCTGCAGTCCTCATCGAAGAAGCTTCTTCAGTTCTGATTGGATGATTTATCTGCATTTAGAAAATACAGGCCACTTGTTTGAAGACAGCAAAGTCCCTATTTTGGACAGAGAGGACCACTGGTTTCAAAGAGGGGTCAAAGAGGCCATCTATGTCAACATTGAACAGCCTTCTCTCAACAGAGGAGAAAGGATAGGAGATCATCTATTTCCAGTCTACAACACGGTCCTTTCAGCAGTTCTGCTGGCACTATCCAAGTTATTTTCGTTTGTAACAATGAGAGTTTGTGATTAAAACCCAAACAGGGACAATCTACTTGAAGGCTTCCAAGACTAACCGGAACAAATTTGAACGAGATAAAGTTGATGTCTTCACGGTGGGATGTGTGGACCTCGGAGACCTGAAGAAGATAAAGATTGGCCATGATAATACAGGTAGGATGGCATGAAATTTTTGGGAGAGTTGTAGGATGGGTTGACTTGATACCATAATGTCCATACCTCTATTTATCTCCTTTGGGGAAACTAAAAATTTACCTGGATTTAAAAATGTTCCTTCCCCCCAAGTCTAGAGGTTAAACCTGGAAGTTATAGAGGATACCTTTGTTCTAGAACAGGGCTCTCCATACTTGGCAACTTTAAGACTTGTGGACTTCAACTCCCAGAATTCCTCAGCCAACTAAAACTTAATATTATTCTAATTAAAACGGAAGCAAAACTAAGCAGGATCGAGTAGCTCTGAATTGTTTATTCAGACACAGAGCTATCTTATCTGGGCTATAAAAAAAATCTAGAGGGACACCAGGCAGCAAAGACTTGGTTTTTCTGATTCTCTTCTAAGTTTGGAGAATTCTGCTCTAGAAGATCACAAGAGAATCAGAAAAACCAAATGTTTTGCTATCTAGTGTTCCTCTAGAACGGTTCTCCATTCTTCAGTGGAACTGCTCCAAGATGACAGGTAAGTCTCTCCTGGTGGCTTAGAAGGAGATACCTGCATCGTTCACTTGCCGCTGATATGGAACCAATTGTCTTTCTTCTGTTCTAAAATGGCCGTTCAAGTTCTCCCTCTAGCCTGATGAGCTCTGTGGAAGTTTTCGTTCAGACATTGACCAAACTGATCCTATTTGGTTTTCCAGCCAGATAAGATCACCTAAGTGTCACCTCTCTAGTAGGGATGTGGTGGCTCAGTGGCTAAGATGCTGAGCTTGTCGATCAGAAAGGTCGGCAGTTGGGCAGTTCGAATCCCTAGCGCTGCGTGACGGAGTTCCTTGCCCCAGCTTCTGCCAACCTAGCAGTTTGAAAACATGTAAAAAAATGCAAGTAGAAAAATAGGGACCACTTTGGTGGGAAGGTAACAGTGTTCTGGGGTTTAATCATGCCGGCCACATGACCATGGAGATGTCTTCAGACAGCGCTGGCTCTTCGGCTTTACGACCTCTGACTGGCCCCGCCCCCATCTCTTCTCTGCCTCCCGAGTCCCAGCTGATCGGCTGGGTCTTCTTTGGTTGCCTTGCACAGGAGAACGGAGCTGGAAAGCAGGTTAGTGGGGGGGGTGGGGAGGGAAGGGGATTTTTCAGTAATCTTCCCCCGCCATGCCCACGAAGCCATGCCATGCCTACCAAGCCATGCCCGCAGAACCGGTAATAAAAAAATGTTGAATCCCACCCCTGGTATAGGGCCTCCTTCTTAAGCAGGGGGTTGGACTAGAAGACCTCCAAGGTCCATTCCGACTCTGTTATTCTTTGCAGGTCATTCTGAGGGATGGTTTTTAGACTGGGTGGAGGTGGACGCTCCTTGCCTTGGGCTTTGCCTGAAGTTTCCTTGTGGTCGTTGGCTGGATAAATCGGAAGATGACGGAGCAATTGAAAGAGTCTTGTTTCCTGCAACGCTGCAAACTGTGACTTACATCCCATGTGAGTAGCCCGGTTAGCAGATCAAACTGCATTCCGTCAGAAAGAAATACAAGTACAGGCAGTCCTTGACTTACAGCAGTTCATCTAGTGACCGTTCAAAGTTACAGTGGCACTGAAAAAAAGTGACTGATGTCGTTTTTCACACTGATGACCTCTGCAGCATCTCCGTGCTCACACGATCAAAATTCAGACGCTTGGCAGCTGACTCGTATTTATGTCGGTTGCGTATGTTGCCCTTTTGGACAAGCAAAGTCCATGGGGGAAGCCAGGTTCCCTTAATGACCAAATGGTTCACTTAACAACTGCCGTGTGGCAACTCAACTGGCAAACACAGACGTAAAATGGGGCAAAATTCACTTAAGAAAGGTCTCCCTTAGCAACAGAAATGTCATCCCCCTGTTGGAGTCTGAATCCGAGGAGGAAGACGAACAGCTGAAAGGGAGCGGGAGTGTGACTCTGTTGGCTGTGGAGGAAACTGGGGAAGGGCAAAGTCCAGCTGGGCAGAGAAGGGAAGAGGTAGAGCAAGGGAGAGGGTGTTCAAAGGAAGACCCAGGCCCAACCCCTCTTCATCCTAGGGCATGCAGGGAGGAACGGAGTAGGGAGCAATGTGGATTGCATGGCTTACGGGGGAGGAAAGGGCCCTGATTCCCTTCATTAGCCACAGCTGGGAAGAGAGTTTAAAAAGAGATGCAAGCTGAATGTGGCGTCTGCTGGGAACAAACGTGAGTTTATCTTGTGTTGACTTTGGTTATCTGTGTTCCTGGCATCCTCCCAAATGGGTTGAATTACAGCTATTCCTTCATGTCTGGAATTCCTTCTCTTGCCCTGCTGGACTAATTACCTCATTTTGCCTTGATTTGGACTTATAGTTACAGTTTTTGTTGACCCCGTTTTGGACTTGATTCTCTGCAGCCAAAGGCTGTTCCTGGGAGAGTTTTTCTCCAGCCCAAGAAGGTAACCAGGATATTGGGGGCAAAGTTGGAGCTAATAAAGGGACTCTTATTGATTGTCTGACCGTGTTGCCTTTGTGCCACGTCCCGGGTCATCACAAGAAATGTGGGGCTCCATTGTGGTCGTAAGTCGAGGACTTTTTTAAATCCTTGACTTGCAGCCATAAGTTGAGTCCAAATTTCTGTTGCCAAGTGAGACAGTTGTTGAGTTTTGCCCCGTTTAATGACCTTTCTTGCCATAGTTCACTGCGAGTTGTCAAGTTAGAACATGGATATTAAGTGAATCTGTCTTCCCCCTCGATTTTGCTTGTCCAAAGGTTTCAAAAGGGGATCTCGTGACCCTGGGACACTCCGACCGTCATAAATACGAGACAGTTGCCAAGCGTCTGAATTTTGATTACGTGGCCTCAGGGATTTGCAATGGTTATAAGTGTGAAAAACGGTGATCATCCAATTTCTTTAGTGTTGTTGTAGCTTCAAATGGTCACTAAACGAATTGTTGTAAGTCAAGGACTACCTCTATTGATATTATTACTGGATACAAAGCAGACTAAAATGGTACATCTTGTTACTTGGGGGTTAACTACAATAGGCACAGTGGAACTTAGTTTACAGGTAGTCCTGGACTTATGACCAGAATGGAGCTCCAAAATTTTGTTGCTAAGTGAGACATTTATTAAGTGAATTCAGCTCCGTTTTACGACCTTTCTTGCTGCACTCGTTAAGTGAATCCCTGCCGTTGTTAAATTAGTAACCCGGTTGTTAAGTGAATCTTAACATTGATTTTGTTTATCAGAAGATCACAAAAGGGGATCATCTAAAACCCCCCCCAGGATGCTGCAACCGTCATAAATGTGAATCAGTTGCCTTCGCCTCTGAATTTTGATCACGTGAGCATGGGGACGCTGCAACGGTCATAAGTGTGAAAAATGGCCATAAGTCACCTTTTTCACTGCTGTTGTAACTTTGGACCATCACTAAATGAACCCTCGTAAGTCGAGTGTCAACTCACAAAATATTTCTATGGTCCAGAAAGGGAGGGGGGGGGAAAGGGGTTTGAAAGAGCAGTGCAACAGTTTGGAAATCGGAAGTGCATTCCATAAATAGTTGTTCAAAGATAGTAACTAGGTGACTGAAGTTTCTGCCAGGCAAATATCTAACTGGAGAGCATGATTGATGACTCTTGGCTATGGAAGAGTCCCATTGGAGAATAGGAATTACGATACACCCAGGGGGTGGAGGGAAAACCAGGGTCAAGGGTGACAATGAATGATGTGTTTCAGAGTCGGTTACATCCAGGCAGTGCCGGACATGTTAACTCCCAATAAATGTTTTTTTTTTTTAAGTTTTTGAAGTTTGGCTCGAGACTCATGATTTAAATGGGGGTAACTGCCGGAATCCTGACAGCGAGGACTGCCTGTTCATTGAGGCGGCCTGGGATGTTAATCTTGAGAGTTGCTTCAGATGATTTTGCTAGAGGAGAAAACATATTGGCAGATGCTCATCCGTCCCCCTCTTTTAATGTGCAAAGTGCTTCGGTCCATCGGACATGTCATGCTTTTCTTTACTTCTTCTGAGTAAATATTAAAATTGTCATCACTCATTTGACAAGGAAGGCTGCTCTTCAACCCAAGCGGGGTCCCAGGATTGCTCCACTTAAACGAATTCTTTGTGCCTCTTAACAATAATCTCATTTTTCCATCGTCACCCTTACAGATTATTTACTTAGCTTGCAAGAGGAAGAAGGAAAAAAACAACAACCCAATGATCTGATAACATCTCAGAAAGCTTAGCTGTTAGCAAGCCGTAAAGGGCTTAGGGTGTTATAATATGTCCCGATTAAATAACTGTACTGGGTTACAGGATTGTTTAACTGTTACAGGATCAAGCAGGAAGCTGGAAAAAGAAAGTGAGGATTTTTGCACCTTGCCGGAAATATTTAAATTCCATTCTGCTGCTGAAAACTAGAGCTGCACTTTTCCTTTTGTTGTATAATCGGTGTGATGTGGTTTCTCCTTTAACCGAATAATATATTTAATCTAAATAACAGTATAACAGAGTTGGAAGGGACCTTGGAGGTCTTCTAGTCCAACCCCCTGTTTAGGCAGGAAATCCTACACCACTTCAGACAAATGGTGGTCCAATCTCTTCTTAAAAACTTCCAGTGTTGAAGCACCCACAACTTCTGGAGGCAAGTTGTTCCACTGATTAACTGTTCTAACTGGGAGGAAAATTTCTCCTTAGTTCTAAATTGGTTCTCCCTATTGTGGCCGGCCCCTTCACGACTGAATCAGAAGTGGAGGCAGCGTGGGAGTCGGGGAAACCTGAGAGCTGCGAAGGGGGAAGAGGGATTGGAGCTGGCAGAGAGGCAGAACCTGGGCTGTCCATCGCCTCAGATGGAGAGTCAACAGCCCTCAGGTCTGGAGGTGGCTGATGAGGAAGAGGAGGAACAGCTGGGTCCAAGACCTGACGCACAGATGTACAGAAGGCAGAGGAAAGGAGAGCAGTGGAAATCTATGGGCCGGTCCTTGGGATGGAAGAGCCACTGCTGCTAGCGAAGCCTCACTCTAGTTCTGGGGATAAAAGGCAGGGGGAACAGATGAATAGATGTGACAGTTAACTATTTATCTGATGGATGGACTTGTTAGCCTGCAGTGAGAGAGAAATTTCTTGCCAGATGCTCCTAATAAAAGAATCTTTGAGTTAACCCCCTTGATTAGTTTCCACCCATTGCTTCTTGTCCTGCCCTCAGGTGATTTGGAGAATAGGTTGACCCCTTCTTCTTTGTGGCAGCGGTCCCCCCAAATATTGGAAGCCTGCTATCATGTCACCCCTAGTTCTTCTTCCAATAAACATTCTCCACTGAAATGAAACCATCTTAAGACAACTGAAATCAAATAGGCATAGTGCTGTGAATGAAGGCTCAGCCAATGTTGGCGTAAGGGATGGAAATGACAAACTTTGAACCCTCATCTAGAACAGATACAGACACTTCCTTTAGTTGCTGAATCACTACAGGGAGCCTTGACTTATTTGCTAAGTGACCGTTCAAACTTACAACGGCAGTGAAAAAAACGACTGGTTATCATCCTTACGACCATTGCAGCATCCCCATCCGTGGTGGGATTCAAATTTTTTTACTGTCGGTTCTGTGGGTGTGGCTTGGTGGGCGTGGTTTGCTGGGTGTGGCTTGGTGGGTGTAGCAGGGGAAGGTTACTGCAAAATCCCCATTCCCTTCCCACCCCACTAACCTGCTTTCCAGCTCCGTTCTCCTGTGCAGGGCAACCAAAGGAGACCCAGCCAATCAGCTGGGACTTCGGAGGTGGAGAAGAGATGGGGGCGGGGCCAGTCAGAGGTGGCATTTGCCAGTTCTCTGAAATACTCAAAATTTCCACTAGCGGTTCTCCAGAACTGGTCAGAACCTGCTGAATACCACCTCTGCCCCTGATCACCTTTGTTGCTCTTCTCTGCACTCTTTCTAGAATCTCAACATCTTTTTTACATCATGGCGACCAAAAGTGGATGCCGTCTTCCAAGGCTGGCATTACCAAGACATTATAAAGTGGTATTAACACTTCAGGTGATCTTGATTCTATCCTTCTCTTTATGCAGCTTAGGACTGTGCTGGCTTTTTTGGCAGCAGCTTTATTTTATAGTAACGTTTTTCAATCACAGGCCCAGCAATGCCAGACCAGAAAAAAAAAAATGAACATTTTCCATCAACTAATCAGTGCATCAGTCAATGTAACTTGGATGGCATTAAATAATAAATCTATAGTTTATTAAAAAGGCAAGGGTGGCCAAATCTCACTAAAGGTTATGCAAGAATGTAGGGATTGTTTGTGTGGTTAGGGTACTACTCAAAACTACTCCAGATTCACGCGGCAACTGTGCTACTTAACTGAGCAACTGCAGTGATTTACTTAACAACAGTGGCAAGACAAGTCGCAAAATGGGCTAAAACTCCATTAATATCTGTCCAGCTTAGCAACAGAAATTTGACTTCCATGTGACTGTAAGTCGAGGAATAGCTATATTAGAAAAGCAGAAAGCAGCAGGCAAAATGGTGATTATTTACTAATTGGAGGGGCTTCCTGCCAGCCACAGGGATTCATCTCAAACTTGGCAACTTGTATAGAAAGTCCTCAACTTACAACAGTTCATTTAGTGACCATTTGAAGTTACATAAGGGACTTATGGCCCTTTTTTGTCACACTCCTGACCGTTGCAGCATCCCCAGGGTCATACAATTTACATCCTGATGCTCAGCAACTAATTCATACTTATGACTGTTTAAGCATCCTGGAGTCATACAATTCTCCTTTTGCGACCTTCTGATGAGCAAAGTCAATGGAAGAGCCAGATTCACTTAACAACCAGGTTTCTAACTGAGGAACTGCAGTGATACACTTAACAACGGTGGCGAGAAAGGTCACAAAATGGGGGCAAAACCCACTTCACAACTGTCTGACGTAGCAAGAGAAATTTTGGCCTCAATTGTGGTTGTAAGTCGAGGACCATCGGTATTCCAAAAGCAGGAAGCAGCAGGCAAAATGGTGATTACTTACTAATTGTTGCGGATTCCTGCCAGCCACAGGGATTCTGTGATTATCCAGGGCGTGGCACAAAAATAACAAAGTCACCAAAGTAGATAAATTCCCTTTAATGCCTTCAACTTGGCCCACAATGTCCAATTATCCACGGCAGGAGATCATACTCTTCCAAAAACAGTCTACAAAGGGAAGAAATGCAGTCCGAACCCAAAATACAGATAAAGTAGAAATAAAAAAACCAACACAAACTACGTTGAGGTAATTAACATGACAGACCAGGATAATAACTTGCAGACTTCCAAAAGATAACAAGGCACACAAAGTTGGGAGGACGCCAAAAACCCAGATAAACCTCAACAAAGATGCTTTGCTTCCAGCAACTTTGCCATGTACAGTTTGCCCTTTTAAACAATCTTCCCAGCTTCAGCCCATGAAGGGGATTAGGGCCCTTTCCTCCCCTGTAAGCCACTTTGATCCCTTAACCGCTCCTCCCTAGGATGAAGAAGGGGTGGGCCTGGATCTTCCTCTGAATGCCTAGCCGGCCTGTGCCCTTCCCCAGTTTCCTCCACAGCCACCGGAGCCACACTCCCACACCCTGTCAGCTGTTCCACCCCTCCCTCGGAATCAGATTCCAACTGGGACATGACAGATTCATCCCAAATTTGGCACTTGTATGCATAGATCAAAGGTTGTCATAATAACCGAATCAGGATTCTTGGCCCTGGTAAGATGCATTTTATTCACAACAGGTGTAAAGTTGGCCAGGAAGAATAGTAAACCTGTCCTTCTCACGCTGTCCCTTTTGTTTTCTTTCCATCTGGCCAGTTGTTCCCTACGAAATTAATGTTTATACCAGTGACATTTTGGGAGCGGGTACCGATGCTGACGTCTTTATTGTTCTCTACGGGGCTGACGGCGTCTGCACGCAACAGAAATCCCTGTGCCAAAACAAGAGGGAACAAAGGATGTTCTTTAAGAGGAATTCTGTAAATCAGTTCATTGTGGAGGTAAGGGGGAATGTGCTTTGGATACTCCGGGCAATTTGGGAACCATATGGCAGAAGGAAGTAGATTGCAAGAAGCGGTCAGAACAGAACAATACAGAATAATAGAGCTGGAAGGTTTCTTGTCCATTAGGGATTCAAGTGGAAAACCCTATGCCATTCCAGAGAAATGGCTGTCCAGTCTCTTCTTAGTTCTCCTTAGTTCTAGGTTGCTTCTCTCCTTGATTAGTTTCCATCCATTGCTTCTTGCCTTGTCTTGAGGTGCTTTGGAAAATAATAATAGAGTAGAGTAGAGTAGAGTAGAGTAGAGTAGAATAGAGTAGAGTAGAGTAGAGTAGAGTAGAGTAGAGTAGAAAATATGGAATGGAATGGAATGGAATAGAATAGATTAGCATTTAGAATAACAGAGTTGGAAGGGACCTTGGAGGTCTTCTAGTCCAACCCCTTGCTTAGGCAGGAAACCCTACACCACTTCAGGCAAATGGTTATCTAATCTCTTCTTAAAAATGTCCAGTATTGGAGCATTTACAAATTGATAGACTGCTATCATGTCACGCGTAGTCCTTCTTTTCACTAGACTAGATGTCCCAAATTGACACATAATCAGGGGTAAGATTCTACCTGGTTGGTCCGGTTCTATAGAACTGGTTGTTATGATTCTGCCCACCCACTCACTCCTTACCTGGCATGCACGCCATCAAACCTGCGTTTGGTAAGTTGCTATTTTTCATTTTTTTCCCAACCATCAGCTGTTCTGCAATGCTGGGAGATTTAGATTAGCTAGAAAGCAGGAAATCATAGGATTTCTTGCTTTCCAACTAATCTAAAAGCAGAGCTGAACCTTCCTTAGGACTAAAGCTTCTGTTTTTCAGTGCAGACTCAGGCAATAGATTGCAGAATAGTAGATCTCTAACTGAATCTGTGATTCTGTGAGAATCTGCCTGCCTGCTTTGCCTGATTTTGGGTAAAAGTTGCTCTTTTCTTATAAAAAAAAATCAATATTTACATAGATGGTGTGCGGTGAGTTAATTTGGTGAGTTTGCGTGCTAGCAAATTTTATGAGTTTGCTTGCAAGCAAATTTTATGTGACAGACTCAGGTAGCAGATTGCAGAAAGATAGATCTCCAAGTGAATCTGTGATTCTGTGAGCAACTCAATCTACCTGCCTGCTTTGCCTGATTTTGGGTAAAAGTTGCTCTTTTTGCTCAATATTTGCATAAATATTTATAATATTTACATACAAACCATGCCCAGCCAGTCACATGACCACTAAGCCATGCCCAGACAGCAAGCCATGCCCACCCAATCCCATGACCAGCAATCCACACCCACAAATTAGGCCCCGCCCACAGAACCAGTTGTTAAGAAATTGAATCCCATCCCTGCACATAATCCTTGATGACAATGTTTGACACTCTTGAGCATAATATCTATAGAGGTTCTCATTCATACAGGTCATGGTTGTCCCCAAAGTGCATTTATTTTAAGATAAAAATAAGTTAAAATGTACTTTAAAGGTAACTGGACTTCCTGAGTTTTCTTTAAGATGTTTTTCCTTCTCCTCCAGGAAGCTTCTTCCTGATTCCCCACCAGTTAGTTAGAACTGAAGAAGTGTCTTGGATCAGAAGCGAAACGTCTTAAAGAAAAAACCAGTTGCCTTTAAAAGAGAAGGATTTTGAAGGTGATCTTGAGCATAGAAAGAAATCAAATGAAGAAGGGTATTATTACCCTTGTATTTGGTGTAAAACAGGGATCTTCTTTTGGGGTGGGGCATCATATTTGGAGCATGTTATGGGGATGTAAAACTTGCTTTGCAGATGTAGCAAAAAATAGTTCCCCCGAAAGGAAATTTTTGAAGCTGATCTCATGACCATTTTGGGATGTTTTGTAATCCTCAGCTTCCTCCAATCTTTTCTGAGAATATGAACAGAATTGCAGACCAAACACTGGTTTTTTTTGGTCGTTTGATGCTCATGTTTGTTACAGCTTTATAGTTGTATAACTATAGTTATAGTTGGCAACACCATCTCTGAATTTGCTTTGGAAGCCCGTTGCTGTTTTATATAATTCTTCTTTCTTCTAGGAAAAACAAACAAACACGATCATATAAAATATAGACACATGGATAATTTGAGTTTTTTGTTCCCCGTTTTTTTTTTAGCAGAGGGTGTTTTAACATTTATTAACACTGGTGCAATTGTTTTCTAGATGTCTCTGTCTCTGTCTCTCTCTGTCTCTCTGTCTCTGTCTCTCTGTCTCTCTGTCTCTGTCTCTGTCTCTTCGTCTCTGTCTCTGTCTCTCTCTCTCTCTCTCTGTCTCTCTCTCTGTCTCTCTCTCTGTCTCTGTCTCTTCGTCTCTGTCTCTGTCTCTGTCTGTCTCTGTCTCTCTCTCTCTCTGTCTGTCTCTCTCTCTGTCTCTCTCTCTGTCTCTCTCTCTCTGTCTCTCTCTCTGTCTCTTCGTCTCTGTCTCTGTCTCTGTCTGTCTCTGTCTCTCTCTCTCTGTCTCTCTGTCTCTGTCTCTCTCTCTGTCTCTCTGTCTCTGTCTCTCTCTGTGTTTCTCTGTCTCTGTCTCTCTGCTTTTTTTTAGCAAAGTTTGATTTGTTACCTATCACTAGTAGACAAATATGAAATATGGAATCCCAAAGGTGCTTTTTTCAAGATGCAACTGGACTGACTTGCTTTTCTTCGAAGACGTTTCGCTCAGAGGTGGTACTCAGCCGATTCTGACCAGTTCTGGAGAACCAGTAGCAGAAATTGTGAGCAGTTCAGAAAATGCCACTTCTGACTGGCCCCATCTATCTATTTTCTGTCTCCCGAGTCCCAGCTGATCTTTGGTTGCCCTGCATAGGAAAGCAGGTTATTGGGGTGGGGAGGGAATGGGCATTTTGCAGTATCCTTCCCCTGCCACACCCACCAAGCCACGCCCCATCAAGCCCTATCACGCCCACCAAGCCACGCCCACAGAACCGGTAGTAAAAAAAATTGAATCCCACCATTGGTTTCGCATCTCATCCAAGAAGCTTCTTCAGCTCTGAACTGGATGGTTGGGACTGGCAGGATTTCATTTAGCTTCTTGGATGAGAAGTGAAACGTCTTCAAAGAGGAAAAAAAACCAGAAAATCCAGTTGCCTCTTTAAAAAAAAGCCTCTTCGGAACAACCATATCCTGGATGACTGAGAATCTCCATCAACGTGAAATATGGACAAGAGGGAAGCAAAAAAACAAAAAAACAAACCCACAACCACTCCAGTGTAACTAGTTTGTAAGAACATAGAGTAATAGCTGTAAGAATGCCAATATTTCTAACTATCCAGGGCTATTTTGCTTTGGCGTTCTCTCTTGCTGGATCTACATTGTATTTCATAAGTAGCACTTAAAAAACTGCAAATGAGACATCAGTCCCTCCTTAGATATCCCCCAATTCCAATAACCATTCTTTATTTATTTTAGCCTTCAGTCACCTAATAATCTCTGTTATTGTCCCCTAATCGTTTTATGTGCCGTTTTGGGGGGATTTTGTGCATTCATGCAGTATTGTTACACCACACAAAATAGAAATACAATAAAACCCATCCAATATGGCTGTATTTTGAGGGGGCTATTGGGATGCTTATTATCATTTTATCCTCTTAGGCAAAAAATTAAAAATAAAAATACGAATTAAAGGCGCAACTTGAATTGTATTTTGGACTTTCAGAAAATCACTTCAGGTAATTCCATAACCACATTTTTCCTAAATTCCTTCAGCTAGAAGACGTTGGTGACATCCTAGAAAAGATCCGCATTGGGCACGATGGCTCAGGTATCAATTCAGGCTGGCACCTTGATCAGGTAGACATACGGAGACTTTTGCCAAATGGAAAGGTAAGGAGGAGTTTTTTTGTAATGTGTATTTCTTCCACCTGAATGTCTTTTCTAACTTTGCTTAAAGCAGATGCTTCTTTAAGCATATATTTGGTGCAACTCAAATAAAGCAGTCACCAATTTCAAATTTCGGTCCTACCAAGAATGTAGATGGTGGCTTTATAAAGCCACAATACAGGTAGTCCTTGACTTACAATCGTTTATTTAATGACCGTTCGAATATTGACAGTATGTGTTGGGCACATCCACAAAATGGTTTCCTTAGAGACCTGGTGATTTGCTTTCCAACAAACCCACTTCCTGCTTTCTTTCTTTCTTTCTTTCTTTCTTTCTTTCTTTCTTTCTTTCTTTC